ATCCTTGTGGCTTAGCGCTCTTGATATTACTTTGATAAGTTACCCTTATGTAAGTTCACCCTTGATACAGTTCACCCTTGATACAGTTCACCCTTGATGTAGTTCACCCTTGACACAGTTCACCCTGATACAGTTCACCTTCGATGTAGATCATCCTTGATTCAGCTCACCCTTGACTTGATAGACTTCACCCTTGATGCAGTTTACCCTCGATACAGTTCACTCTTGATACAGCTCACCCTTGGTGTAGTTCACCCATGATACAGTTCACCCTTGATACAGTTCACCCTGGATGTAGATCACCTTTGATACAGTTCACCCTTGATACAGTTCACCGTTGATATAATTCGCCCTTGATATATTTCACCCTTGATGCAGCTCACCCTTGATACTGTTCACCCCAGATACTGTTCACCCTTGATATAGTTCACCCTTGATACAGTTCACCCTTGGTTTAATTCACCCTTGATATAGTTCACCCTTAATACAGTTCACCCTTAATACGGTTCACCCTTGATACAGTTCACCCTTGCCACACTTTTCCCTTCATGTAGTTTATCCTTGATACAGTTCACCCTTGATACAGTTCACCCTTGATATAATTCACCCTTGACATAATTCGCCCTTAATACAGTTCACCCTTAATACGGTTCACCCTTGATACAGTTCACCCTTGATACAGTTCACCCTTGATACAGTCCACCCTTGATACAGTCCACCCTTGATACAGTCCACCCTTGATACAGTCCACCCTTGATACAGCTCACCCTTAATACAGTCCACCCTTGATACAGTTCACCCTTGATACAGTTCACCCTTGATAAAGTTCACCCCTGATACAATTCACCCTTGATGTAGTTCACCCTTGATACAGTTCACCCTTGATACAGTTCACCCTTGATACAATTCACCCTTGATGGTTCACTCTTGATACAGTCCACCCTTGATACAGTTCACCCTTGATACAGTTCACCCTTGATAAAGTTCACCCTTGATACAATTCACCCTTGATGTAGTTCACCCTTGATACAGTCCACCCTTGATACAGCTCACCCTTGATACAGTCCACCCTTGATACAGTCCACCCTTGATACAGTTCACCCTTGATACAGTTCACCCTTGATACAATTCACCCTTGATGTAGTTCACCCTTGATACAGTTCACCCTTGATGTAGTTCACCCTTGTTACAGTTCACCCTTGATACAGTTCACCCTTGATACAGATCACCCTTGATACAATTCACCCTTGATAAAGTTCACCCTTGATGCATATCACCCTTTATACAGTTGACCCTTGATACAGTCCACTCTTGATACAGTTCACCCTTGATACAGTTCACCCTTGATAAAGTTCACCCTTGATGTAGTTCACCCTTGATACAGTTCACTCTTGATGTAGCTCACCCTTGATACAGATCACCCTTGATACGGTTCACTCTTGATACAGTTCACCCTAGATACAGTTCACCCTTGATACAGTTCACCCTTGATACAGTTCACCATTGCTACAGTTCACCCCTGACGCAGTTCAACCTTGATAAGGCTCACCTTGATAGTCCTATACACCTTGATGAGTTCACCCTTGATACAGTTCACCCTTGATGCAGCTCACCCTTGATGCAGTTCATCCTTGATACGGTTCACCCTTGATACAGTTCACCCATGATACAGCTCACCCATGATACAGTTCACCCTTGATGCAGTTCACCCTTGATGCAGTTCACCCTTGATACGGTTCACCCTTGATACAGTTCACCCATGATACAGCTCACCCATGATACAGTTCACCCTTGATGCAGTTCACCCTTGATGCAGTTCACCCTTGATACGGTTCACCCATGATACAGTTCACCCTTGATGCAGTTCACCCTTGATACGGTTCACCCATGATACAGTTCACCCATGATACAGTTCACCCTTGATGCAGTTCACCCTTGATGCAGTTCACCCTTGATACGGTTCACCCTTGATACGGTTCACCCTTGATACGGTTCACCCATGATACAGTTCACCCATGATACAGTTCACCCTTGATACAGTTTATCACTAGTATTGCTACCACAACTACCATTACCACTACGTCAGATACTACTACCGCTAGTACCTCTACTACCACTGGAACTACTTCTCCACCTCTATTACATCTAGCATACAACTACTACCACCATCAGAACTATTATAATCACAATATCACCACAGCTACTACTACCACTGCTACTACAACCTCCACAATTACTACCATTTTGTAACTTATCCCGAGTACACTTTGCTCGACGTTCATCACAGAACCACTTGTTGCAGCCCTTCTTCAACAAAAATGACAGCAGTACAGTTGATGGGGCCCCCAGGTACCCTGATTGGCTGTCAGGTTTATACATGAGATGTTGATTCCAACCGAATTGAAGTTATACTTACACCCCTAGTTGGAGTCTCTCACTAGCTGGCTGAGTACACTTAACGGTCTCTCCTGTATAACTTATAAGTCAATAGGTGTGAGTTAAATTTCTTTGCTTTCTCTGTATTACTCTGATTTGTATGGCATCTTCCTGCCCTACTGCTCTCTGTATACTGTAAATACTGCTGAAGGGAATACATTGGTACTCAAGTGACTAGCTACCCTTGGAGTTTTTCTTAATTCTGATAGTTTGTTCCTTAGCTAAGGCCTGGTCACGGACAGGGCCGCGGGGGTGTTGACCCCCGAAAACTTCTCCATGTAGTCAAATACTACAGGAGTTGCACTCGAACTTGTGTTCCTAATGCACTATAATATCTACCACCTCTACCACAGGTATTACCACTATATCACACAACTATTATCAGCACTACTACCAATATTAACATCACTACTACAACTACTATTACCGTCACGATCACAGCTACCACAACTATCACTACCGCTACTGCAACTAGTGCTGCCACTACAACCATCATATATACTATTTTTACAATTATCACATCTACTGCAACCTCCACCACAACTGTCTTCCTGTGTTTGTAATATTCTCTTGCAACGTTTTCTATATAATAACTTTATGTGTAAGTATATAATGACTAAAACGTATATATCTGTTAATGGATGGTTGTTGACTATCACCATTATCACCACTACTACTATAACTATCACTACCATCACCATAAGCACTAACACAACAGCACTACCACAAAAACTAGCACTACCAACACAACTAGTACTGCCACCACAAGCACTACCACTAGCACAATCAGTACCATGACATGCACCATCACCACAAGTACTACCACCACCACTGCAACTATCACTACCATCACAACAAGCACTACTACCACTACAACTATCATTATCGCATCAAGCACTAGCATCACAACGAGCACTACCACCACAAGTACTACCACCACAAGTACTACCACCACTACAACAAGCACTACCACAAGTACTACCATCACAACTAGCACTACTACCACCACCACTATAACTAGCACTACCACTACGACAAGCACAACTACCACTACAGCTATCACTATCACCACATCAAGCACTAGCATCACAACAAGCACCACCACCACAAGTACTACCACATCAAGCACTAACATCACAAGCACTACCACCACCACAACTAGTACTACCACCGCAACTAGCACTACCACGACTACAGCTAGCACTACCACAACTAACACTACCAACACTAGAACTAGCACCACTACAACTAGCACTACCACCATCCGCGACGTGAGGCTTGCTTCACACCCCTCTACTCCCATGGAACCTCACTTTATGGCAACAAACATTTGGCAGACTCGTCCAACCTCAGAGGTTAGTTTCTGGAGACAGATGTTAATCTTACGGAAGCGTGAACACACATGATACGTGTTGTGGCAGTATGTGTGCAGGTTCGTATGTGCGGGAATGAGATGAAAGGGAAGGTAATGGAAGAGAAGGATAGGTTTGTGTTGGAGAAACGGGAGCTGGAGTCAACTGTGTGCACTCTGCCTGCTTCCCGCCATGCAACTGTCAATAATCTGTAAGCACGTGCCTGGAAGTGTGCGTGCATGCGTGCGTGTGCCTGAGTAGGTCGGTGTGTGTGCGTTCGTGCGTGCGTGCGTGCGTGTGCGTGCGTGGAGGCGGGGGTGGTGCGCATGTGTACAACTGTCCTCTCCACACACACGCACACACACATACACACATACACACCCACACCCACACACACTCACACACGCTCTTGTACGGCCTCACACCTCCCCGTGCCCCCCTGGAGGCTGCTACAGCCCCCTACAGCAGCCCCTACACCTGCTGCTACTGCTCCCGCAGCAACCCCAAGGGCCCCTACCACCTCCCGGAGCCCCACACCAGCGCCATGAAATGTCGCACGCTGCTATCCCTTGAATGACACATCAATTCATTCATTCAAATGGCTCATATTGATCCCATGATTACTACGACGCTTTTGAGAATTCCTAAAGCTCTCACCTGTAGTACTCTTCTTTCACTGAATCCACGATCGCTGCAGAAAGAAAAAAATCGCCGTGGAGGTGGAAAGAAGTGAAAAAAAAAAATGGGTTGGTTTGAGAGGCGGCAATGGCCCCAGCGGAGCCCCTACCACCCTGCACGGGCCTCACACACTCCCTCCCATCTTTCATTTAAGCCATTTTTTCCCCATCTAAAGCAAGCTTTTACACTGGATGCTTTGTACTGGCGGGTTGTGAAGGCATTGCTTCATAGTCACAGTCAGGTGTCAGTCGCGCAGGCTTTGATAAGCGGTCATTATAAGGGATGAAAATTATAAGAGGCCTAGTGTGGGAGCCAGCACTCACATACGAACATACACACAGTTGTTATCATCTACCAATTTACCTCCTCGCCGTTATCTAATCTGCCTCATATGAATTTTATACGAACCAGATACAATATTAGAAGGGGACCGTACCGAGAAATGATTAAAATAAGCTCTATTTTGGCGTGATTAAATGTGTGAGTTAAGGTTGTGGCGAGATGATGGTGTGGGGCGTGAGGTTGGAGGAGCGCTGGCAGCTTCAGTGTTTGTGTGCGTGGTGGGGTGGAGTGTTCGCAAGTATTCCCTGAAAAACTTCATCAATGTGGAAGCATATATGGCGTGCTTTTCTAGTATGTCAGGCTTACTGCCAGCAGTAGTCCTGGTTCTCGTTGTGCTCACAGGTAAGGCCAGCGTGGAGGGGTAGGAGAGAAGACATCATCATCGACATGCTCCTCGCCCTCGCTTTTTGCCTCTTCTCAAAAATGGCCGCTCCAGGCTTGTTGTTTTGTACTCTTCTCAACATCGGCGTATAAGATAGGGATTCCTCGCGCATTGCAAATCACCACTATGCCCTTGCACTGTGAACTGTGGCCAGGGATAAGTGGCATTACGTATATATAAGTAATTTAAGTTAAGAGAGGACTATGCCTCAGTGGGCGAGGGGCTGTGCCTACGGCCTGTGTAAGACAGGCTACGCACACACTCCTGCTCAATCTCTTATATAACACACGTGTGTAAGAGATGTGTTCACTCTACAGTGTAATCGTAAATCACATTTCACTAATGACAGCGCTGCCAGACTCGAAACAGCAACAACAACAACAGCAATAATTATAAAAACTGAAATAGCTAGAACTGTGATGAATTTGATAATATGAGTATATGAGCGTTCTGATAATGTTTTTTTATAGTGTGGGTTCTGCTGACATCAGCGTTCAGCATCTCTGGACACGCATGTAATAGGCCAGTGCTGTCATGCAAATGTGTAGTGATGGCAGAAATGAATGATGTTTGTCAACGGGTTCAGTGTTTGGTAGAAACCCTGTTTACTGTACGATATTTTGAACGCTTGCTGCTGCTGGTGTGGAGGGTGTAAAATGCGTCTATGCTTCATTCTTGTGTAGCGCTCCACCTAGTATGCCTAAAATTTGAAGTTAACGAATTGCCTACATCTTAATCTTCCTGGGAACTATGAGGCTGGAGAGCATGCATACTGCTATTGTTAGTCTGAAACTTTTGTTTACAATAGACAAGTAGGCACTGATATTTTCCACCTCAGTATATGACGATACAACACAGGATGTTTAGTATTACTTGGTAATTGGGAACACTTGATGTTAACATCGGTATTTTTTTTGCAAAAGAGTAACCTAGTAAACAGTTACACGCATTCACAGAAGTAGATATTGGAGTCGATTACTTGTGAAAGGGAAATCTGTCTTCTCGAGACCCTGAAGGTCACGTGATCAAGGAGTACCCTCTTTTTGTATATCTTTATCCAAATACAGGGTGAAAGACGGGGGGATAATACTGGGCAAGAGATGTAGATGAGCGTGCCTCACCCACACTCAAAACGTACGCTTTTATATTTACTCACTAAAGCACAGAAAAACAACTAACAAGAAACTCGGCACATCCTGTAGTATTTGTTATGAATGAAACCCAGTGTAGCGCATGGGGGTGATAAGATAATGTACAATATAACGTTTACTGGAGACTACCTCTGGTATTTTATTAAGGGGAATGTGTACAGTTGTAAGGAGATGTAGAAATAACGATTACGAAAAGTGCAAAGCTCGTGGAGTACATACACTTTGTTGGAATAGTTAGTAGTTCATTTGTGTAGCATCTTATGTAGCTAAGTGTAGTTTTGTAGGTGTGTAAACTTGGGTAAATGCATTAGGTACATTAGTCCGTATGTAACATACTGTACGCAGTGAATATGTACTGTATGTAAGGATTTATTGAAGGTACGTGCTGAATGGTACTTGTACTCTTAGCTTTCAGTATTTAATGAGTACGTGCATTGTATAGGATATATTCTTTATGCTTGCAGACTATTTATTAATTCTACGTGTAGGGTACAAAGATATATTATTTATTTCTACTTTCATTGATTTATTATTGGCGGTATGTAGGCTGTAAGCCTTATAATGAATAGGATATAAGAGTATTTCTTACATTTAGTGAATATATATATATATATATATATATATATATATATATATATATATATATATATATATATATATATATATATATATATATATTTAAAATTGTAGGGTTTCTTAGTGTATTATGGATACGTAGTGTTTACCTGGAGAGAGTTCTGGGGGTCAACGCCCCCGCGGCCCGGTCTGTGACCAGGCCTCCTTAGGTCAGTGTCCCAGGATGCGACCCACACCAGTCGACTAACACCCAGGTACCCATTTTACTGATGGGGAACATAGACAACAGGTGGAAAGAAACACGTCCAATGTTTCTACTCTGGCTGGGAATCGAACCCAGGCCTCACCGTGTGAAGCGAGAGCGTTAACCACCAGGCCACCAGAGCAAGTGTGTAGGATTATTATACACAGAGTGTATGCTATTATTATGAATACATTAAAATTTATCTTACGTATGTGACTTGGACTAAGCATTATACATTTAGCATATTGTGCAGGGTGCCTGATACCTGAGGGGTGTAGTATTAGTTTGACATGTTTGATTTATTAAAAGTGCTTGTATTGTAGGAATCGCACTATAGAATATGTATGTATATATATATGTCGTGCCGAATAGGCAGAACTTGCAATCTTGGCTTAAATAGCAACGCTCATCTTGCCATATAGGACAAGTGAAAATTTGTGTATGCAATAATTTCGCCAAAATCATTCTGAACCTAACGAAAAAAATATA